CGCGTTTTTCCTTAGCGCTTCAAACGGCGCGAATTAGTCTTCGCGCTTATGTCTCTGCAGATAAGGGCTTCGCGGATTTGTGGTGGAACCGATCTGGTCTGAGTGGCAGAACCGGCAGCAAAACATGCGCTCAGCGAACTGATAGTAAATCGGTTAGGAACCCACACTGGTTCAGAGTTACTGCGGAACTGAAATAAAGTGACTTATGTTTTTTACACTTATGATCGGTGCAGCATCCCCATGGTCACATAATCAAAATTCGGATGCTTGTCCACTGGTTCATATTTATGATGGTTGCAGTGTCCTGAGGGTCATGTGATCAACTTTTGGGAGCTTCTGACAAGCAAAGTCAATCAGGTAGCCAGATTCACTTAACAACCGTGTTCCTAATTTAACAGCTGCAGTGATTCACTTAACTGTGGCAAGAAAGGTTGTAAAATGGGATAAAATTCACTTTACAACTTCCTCACTTAGCAACTTATCCACTGTAAGATTTCAAATACTTTAGCTCACCTCAGCAACAACAAGGTTTTATGGATTTGTTTATGAATACAGGGTTATGGGAAGAAGAGATCATTGTTTGCATTATAAGAGAAGGTGATAAGTTACTAAAATTATAAGTTACTATACTTGTTATCTTGAAATGGGAAAAGTCACTCCTTTATGACTTTATAATTGAGTAGGCAGCTATATATAAAATTTCTAAATTAAATAAGTAAATAAATAAACAAATAAATACACAGAATTTAAAAATTCTGTGAAAATACCAAGAAGAAAAATAGGAAGGAAAGGAAACAAAGAGTAAGGGGAAGGAGAAGGGGAAGAAGAAAGGGAAGAGAAGAGAAGGAACGAGGAAAAATGAAAAGAGCTGAGATTAACTAAAATGAATTAGAATATTCTTTGGAACAGTTCAGCTTTAACATTTCCTGAATATATTAACCAGTTTTTAGCCAGGATCTATCTACCCTCTCAGATTCCCTCCATCACATTACCTATGTCTGCCATTCTGTGGGCAGGTGGGTTAACTTCAGGGGTGGGTTCCTGCCAGTTCTAACCTCTTCTATAGAAGAGGTTCCACAAATCTACAGTGCCGATAAGAAGCGGTTCCAGCTCCCTCCGCCTGCCCGTCTGCACATCATCAAGATGAAGAGCGAGAGGAGGAATTCTGGGAGTTGAAGTCCACAAGTCTTAAAGCTGTCAAGTTTGAACACCCCTGGGGTTTTTTTCTAAAAGGTTGGGGGTACAAGGGTCTTATAACTTGACAACTTTAAGATTTGCACACTTCAATGCCAGAGTTCCTGAGCCAACATTTTGATTGCTAAGCAAGAGCGTTGTTAAATGAGTTTCATCACATTTTACAAGTTGGCCACGCCCACCCAGTCACATGACTGCCAAGCCATTCCCACCCAGTCACATGGCTGGCAAGCCACTCCCACAAAGCAGACCACACCTATAGAAGAGTTTCTAAAAAAATGTGAAACCCACCACTGGTCAACTTCCAACAATTGGAATGCAGCCGCTTAGAATTTCATTTTCTAAAAAACTTTCTCAACTTGCACCTAATCCGGACACAAACATGTCCTAGCAAGGTATTCTTGCTACTGTGAGTCACTGCCTTCATTTTGGCCCCAGCCTGACAGTAAGCTAAATCTTAAATCACATGTAGCTGTTCCAGCTTTACGTTAGTGTTTCCTCTTTCTGCTGGTAAAAGCCCAAAACTATTTCAATTTGTGTGAAATCTGAGATGCTTCCCCATTTCTCCTGTAGGTGGCACCATGGAGTAACCATACGGGAAAATATGAGACGTCCACCTCATATCTCTTGTCTATTGGGGCTGAGGTGGCACCCCTCCTTGTGTCCCAAATACTAACTTCTATCACCCATCTTTTTTTTTCTATTGGGGGAAAGTATAGACAAAGCTGCGCAGTAAAGCAGAAGAGCTGCCTTTCTCAGAGTGTTGGCAATCAGATTCTGGGTGACTTTGCTTTGACAGAGGTTGAATATTTTTTCAGAAAATCAGCTAAGAGAGTCACCTGTGGAACCTGCACTGTAAAGACTCTCTCCCTCTTTACTGGTAAGGTCTAGTAGACAGGCTCAATGGTTCCTTAAGCTGGGGAGGGACTGTTTTTAACAGAAGGCTAAATTGACCAATCAAGACATCTGTAAAAACCATTCACCCATCCAAGCAGTGCTGCTGTTGGGCAGATGGTCACATTTTGAAAATGGGAAGGGTGAAAAACCAGTGGGTTTTATCAAGACTTTGCTTAGCACACCTTATCCAGAAAAGATAACCCCAGGTCCGTGATGGCGAACCTATGGCACGCATGCCGCAGGTGGCACACAGAGCCATTTGTTAGGGCACACGAGGCATTGCCCTGTCAGCTGGCCAGCATGCATGCCTCCTGAAGGCTCCGGAGGTCGAAAATCGGCCTTACGGACAAACTGGAAGTCACCATTCCCGAACTTCCGGGTTCCCCATAGGTCCGTTTTTTGCCCTCCAGAGCCTTCTGGGAAGCTCCTGAGGCCTCTCCTAACCCCAACCCTAACCCTAACCCTAGAAAGCCTCTGGAACCTGGGGAGGGCAAAAAAAAATGTGCCAAAAGCATGTGTGTGTGTGTGTGTGCTGGTTGTGCATTCATGCATGCAGGGGGGGTGTCACGCACATAGCATTATGGGTGTGGCATGCCCATGCACCCCCCCCCCCTGTGCTCCTCCTGCTTTTGGCACGGGACCCAAAAAAGGTTCGCCATCACTGCACCAGGTGATACAAACACAGAAGAATGATTATTAGAGTCATTGGAGGGATCAGCAGTGGGGAAAGCAAGCTTTTTGCCAGCACAGGTAGTCCTCAATTTACAACAGTTTGTTTAGCAACCATTCAAAGTTACAATGGCACTGAAAAAAGTGACTTATGACCATTTTTTCACACTTATGACTATTGCAGGATCCCCTGGGTCACAATTCTGGATGCTTGGCAACAAGTTCATATGTATGACGGTTACAGGTCCCGGGGTCATGTGATCATCTTTTGTGACCCTCTGACAAGCAAGTCAATGAGGAAGCCAGATTCACTTAACAATTGTTGCAAGAATGATCGTAAAGCAGGACAAAACTCACTTAGCAAATGTCTTGCTTAGGAACAGAAATGTTGGGCTCAATTATGGTCTTAAATCGAGGACTACCTGTATAACCTTTTCTGCTAGCCTAATGGACAGCATTTTAACTGAACCCTGCAGAACGGACCTAAAAATAAATCCAGGAAAATTGGGAAATAAAGCTGATGTTTGAGGCTGGCATTTTCTTTTTCAACACTGTAGTTTTTTTGTTTAATTTAGTTATAAGATAAAGATGGATCGATGGGAAAATATGTGGCTGAAAGGCCTAAAATTCACTGTATGTTATCATGTAAAAGAAAATATTTACAAAATTGTATGCCATTGAAATATGACACCAGAAAAACTATTTGAAAGGTATTTCAAATACATGTTGGAAATATGAAACCATGAAAGGTAAATTTTCATGCTTGGTATAACTGTAAAAAGGCCAGAAATTTTTGGGTTCAAATACACACAACGATACAAAGAAATGTAAAGATTAGGACTTAGTTGGAACCAGAACCTTTCAGTTACAGACCTCTGTTTTTATACATGGTAAATGCAGCAAGATTATTATACTGTATGCATAAAACTCTGAAATACCTACAAAGGAGGAATGGTTGGTAAAGACAACAAAAGGTGCAGGGATGGCAAAATTGACTTGGAAAAGGCAATAACTATGTTGTGTAAAAGAGCAGGCAGAGCTAGGGTGGGGTGGAGTTAAACAGGTCATCAGCTTATAGTCCTTACATTACCACAAATGATCCATATCCAGCCCTCTTAGAATTCCCCTGAACCTTATCTAGCACCAATTTAGTGCTGACCGTTAATTGACTGGATGCTTGTGTGTAGGCTTGAATAAATCTTCTATGTTGCAACCTAACATACGATCCTGATCCTTTGCGCCTGACAACTGTTAGTGACCGGAAACCCCATTTGTACTTTTTGCTGAAAGGAGAAAAAATGAACTTATGAAATATGGGTCATATGATTAGAAAAGATAGAATATGGAAAGAGGGAACCTGTTACTCAATCTTAAGAAGGCTGAAGATAAATACGTTTATTATAACTACTGTAAAAAAAGTCTGGAGCTATTTATATTTATATTTTGTTATTTATTTCTTTTTCGTTTACTTACCACTTTTACTTTAGATCCTTTTTTTTCTTTAAATTTGCATTGTTTTTACTTTGCAAAAAACCTCTAAATTATTTTTAAAAAGAAAATAAAAAATAAACACACTCAGGTGGGCCATGGGACTTGGTTAGGACTCAAAAAGACATTTCTGGTCATACTGATGTTCAGGGATCCTGCATAGGTATCAGGGAATGAAGAATTAGGCTGACATCCTCTGAATACTTAAGGGCATACAGTACCTTTCCCAGGTAAAAGGCATTTTTCACATAGGCTTCAATTGTGGAACCATCAACCTTAGCTTTTATGGCTATGTAGCACCATGTTCAGCAGAAGTCCCATGTAGCAGAATTCAAAGACTGGGTTACAATCCATCACATCACCTCCATCAAGTACATGATTAAGGTATACTTACCCTGGCATGCCAATTGTTCCAAGAGCCAATGACCTTGGAAGATTTTCTGGCCAATTTGGAGGCAGTGGTGATAGATTTTTACCATCGGAAATAAAATGTGTTGTCCAGCCCGCATTTGCCACAACAAAAATTCCTACAGGAAATGAAGGATTTCTGCTTTCCAAAATCCTTTGAAAAGAACACAGGTACCTAGTTATACTAGTCAACAAAGAAACTTGCAAACAAATTGCAAACACATAACCAGTTTTTAATAATTTTGTCTCAACCTCTATGAAGGAGCAGTGTAACTCACAATCTGACACTAAATCATCGCAGGGAAATTTTATGTTAAGAGTGCCATGAGAACATTCTGGCCATATTTCAAAGCATTCCTATTATTCTATAAAGCCCTGAATAGATTTGAAATATCTAAAGCAGCATTTCCTTCCATTATTTGAGAAGAGGCCCCAGAAGAGAAGCCAGTCATCGTCCCTGAATTGGAATATTTTCAATATCAATGAAGAACTTTGCATACATTCAGATCTTGATGTTATTACTTTTATCAGTTTTTCCCACTGAATCTTTGTTAATGTTTTTTCAGGTATCCTTGGAACAACGCCAACGACACAGCTTGCTTTACTGTAGATTCTATTGGAATATTCTTAATTATGCATTTGTTTTCTTCAATTCAGACAAAGCCCCGAAGTCTATCAAATTGACAGGTCTTATTATTTATTATTAGTTGACAACCCACAATTGCCTGGGTATTTATTTATAGGGTGAAAATGTCCGGACCAAACATAATTTCTAACGTTGGATTTTCCCCCTTACCAGAGGGAGTCCCCTTGTGGAGTACTGTGAAGCCGTTACCATGGCAACTCCACTGTGCTGTACAGTAGAAGCCATTTTACGGCAGTACTGTAGAAGCATTTTAAAGCACAACAGGCTGTATTTTAAAGAACACACACACCGATGGGTGTTAGGGGTGTCTTACCCCTATAGTATTTTTTTCCAGAGAGTATAAGTCATCTAGATTTTACCTTGCAACCTGAGACCCTATCATAGTGTCCCCTTCCTTCATGCCTCTCTTACTGTATGCTCTGCAAAACAAAAATGAAGCAAAAGTCAATGTATGAATTTTTGTTTAAAGAAATACATGGGACCAATTAATGACTGGCATGATTGACAGGCTTAATTCACATTAGGGCAGAGGGACATAAATGTAAGTGAATTAACTTGGACTCATGTCAAACTCATTTCACAATTAACGTAGGGCAGAGCCTGGCTTTTATGATATGTTTTTTATTCAGCAGCAGAGGCTGCTTATTTAGGTCACATGAAAGTACATAATTAGACATCAATACAAATTACAACAAATTCAAATTTGGAGAGGGAGTTATTCTTTCAGGACATAATGTAGGTACCTGTTTGCACTACATCAAAAGCCTTTTGGTGTGTTCAAACAATGACTAAATCTTCTATTTCTGCAGACCATGAGAAACCACAAAAGTATGCAAGTATAATTTGCTTTGGCTAAATGTCTTTGGCTAGAACAGCAGGCTTAGCCATCCATCATATCTAATAATAGCATTTCTGAAGTATTATCCTTGGGACACGTATATTTGCCTTCATACTGCCCGCTGCTAGAGAAAAGGCAGTTGAGAGATGGCTAAATTACAATAATTAGGAGAAAAGATCATTGGTCAGAATAAACTGGGGTTTTAGTATTGAAACACAAAGTCAAACAAACTGTAGTACCTCATATAGGGATCAACACTGAGATACAAACTTTCAAGTAGCATCTCTGAAACACAGAAGAAAAGATTATGAAAGATCAAGCTGATGTACTACTGGAGAGAAAACGATCATTTGATAATCTGTTTTCTTTTAAAAGAAACCAGGAAGGAGTGGACAGAATATCGGAGAAGCGCACTAATCTGGAAATGCAATCTATGTGTCAGTGTTCCAATGAATCCCCTAATTAAACCATGAATCTCTAGCCAAGCTTCAAAAGAAATCCAGTTATTTATTAGAAACAACATGACGGCACATACCCAAGTGAAGCCAACTCTGACCCCATGTAATTTATGATCCAATTATGACCCTGTTTCCCCCCTCCCCCTAGGGTGTGTCATAAATCATATTCTCCAACTGGAGCACTTTCCCGGGCTGTAGAGATCACGCCTCTCTGGCTGCTGTGGGTAAGCTGGGAGATAGCCTTGAAAAAGATATGCCTGGAGCGTGCTTCTGTTTGTGGCTGCCATGCTGCATTGTCAGTTTCCCATCCCTCCTTGCCTTTGGCAACTCAAGAGCGGGCCAGGGATGCTTTTCGAGTTGCCATTATGTGCACGAGGGAAAGAGTTTCTTTATCCCATGCCATTTTACAATTATACACAATGTGTAGTTTTATACTATGTTTCTGTTAAAATTCTTATTGTTACAAGCATTAAGAAAAAACAAGAAAAAATGGAAATACATTATACCAATAAAGGGAATAGCAACATTTCACATTTTACACATTTCAAAATATTTGTTTTATTTGTTTATTCATTCAGTTAGAAGACTGGGATGGAGAGCAAAAAAACCTAGAGATTTTGGAGTTGGGTGAATAAATATTAAAGCATGTCTGACAGCATTCTTTTCATCTAAGTTGTGTGATGTTTTTCTCAATGAATTTTTCTGGCCAAATTATGTAAGAGCAGATCACGTCAAAAACCTATTTTCTAAATTCATCAACTTAACACTGAAAACACCCTTCCGTTTTATATATTCACATCCAAACATTCTCGGCCTAGGATTTAATTGATCAGCGGTCAATCATATTGTTAGATACTAGCTTCAGCTATAATGGCTTCCACCAAGGTCGTCTGTTCTGGTGGGAACAGAGGTTTAATCTCATTGGTCGAAGGGTCTGACAGCTCTCTATAAAAGGGCTGCTGTCAGACTCAATGTTCGCTGGATTATACATAGTTGCTACTGAGTTAATAAAGAGCTGTTGTTACCGTTAGCCTGTGTGTGCCTTTCCATTACCCGATCTAACACATATAGTTTCTCATTTTCCAATCTTGACTTCATTTGTACTGTTTCCACATTCATTTGTGAACTTTTTTAAAAAAAGTCAACATATATGAATTTTCAGGATTTATATGCCTTCTAAATTAAATCTTTGAAGGCACTTGTCATCATGCAATTTTTCAAAACACTTTTCTTAGTGTAATATATTTAATGTTTTCTGCAAGATATGCATCTTTAAAAAAAACACTAGGACAAAGTTTGTTGACATGGGGAACGTGTAATACAAATGCACAATCAAGCGATCCCTCTTACCTCCATCCTTTAGATCTCGTAGGTTTATCTCTATTAATTCAAAGTCACTCTGCTTAGGAAACCCTTCAAAATGCTTCTTCAGGGTCCAATCCTTTGCCTTCACCATTGTACACAACCTGAATGATTAAATAAGAATTTGGCCGCTTTAAAGTAATAGCAATAGCACTAAGACTTATATACCACTTCACAGTGTTTTGCAGCCTTCTCTAAAAGGTTTACAGGGTCAGCATATTGTCCCCAACAATCTGGGTCCTCATTTTACCCACCTCGGAAGGACAGAAGGCTGAGTCAACCTTGAGCCAGAGAGAATCAAACTGCAGGCAGTGGGCAGAGTCAGCCTGCAATACTGCATTCTAACCCTGCACCACCATGGCTCTTGTTTCTCCTTTAGTGCAGTGATTTCCTGAAGTTTAGATTCCCAAGAATTTTTTTTTCTCCTGGCCAAAGCTGGTAATACCTTTCACTCAGAAAGTCCCAGATTTGTTTTATTATTTCTAGAACAATAGATGCCCACAGTGCAGGCAGAGGACAATCCAATTCACAACACATGCCCCTTACAAATACAGGTAGTACTTGACTTACAACAGCTCCCTTAGTCACCGTTCAAGTTACAGCAGCACTGAAAAAAGTAACTTGCGACCATTTTTCACACTTATGACCGTTATAGCATCCTCATGGCCACATGACTTACATTCAGATGCTTGACAACTGACTCATATTTATGACGTTTGCAGTGTTCCGGGATCATGCAATCACCTTGTGTGAGGACTACTTGTATACAGTTAGAGCTGATAAAACGAAAAGATCAAGTGCATTCAATCCCTGCTTGCATGTATATTAGTAACAGCCTCAGGAACATTAGTTCGTTGTCTGATTTTTCTTCAAAGCCTGTAAAATCTCTGGGCAATATATTCATATGACGGCATCAGAGGTGTTATTCAGCCAGTTCTGACAGGTTCTGGAGACCTGGTAGCGGAAATTTTGAGTAGTTCAGAGAACTGGCAAATAGGCTGCCACCCCCCCCCGCCCGCTGCCTCCCAGCTGATCTTCTTTTGTTGCCCTAAACAGGAGAACGGAGCTGGAAAGCAGGTTAGT